TTCGCCGACAATTACCACAAGACCGCGTTTTGTATTTGCTACGGGAGTTACGAATACACTATCATGCCGTTCGGGTTAACAAATGCCCCCTTGATGTTCCAGCTGACGATGAATGGGGTATTCCGGGATCTACTCGATAAATGTGTGATTATTTATCTGGATGACATCCTGATTTACAGCACGACATGGGAGAAGCACTTAAAGGACATGGAAGAGGTTTTTCAGCGCCTGCAGCAGAATCGTCTCATTACCAAAGGCTCTAAGTACAAGTTTTCAAAACCCGAACTGAGTTTTTGGGGCACGTTATTTCGATGGAAGGCGTGAAATTTGACCCCCGCAAAATTCGAGCAATTCAGGAGTGGAAGCCGCCGACAAACCTCTAGAAGTTGCAATCGTTTTTTAGGTTCGTCAATGATGTGCACCGCTTTATCCCCAACATGGCGGGGTTAACTGGAGAACTAACTGACCTACTTCATAAGGGCGCTGCTTATCAGTGGGGGACCTAGTCCACCGACCCTTGGCCTTGATCACCACCCGCACCCTCCTAGGCATGTTATCTACGAGGTTAGTGCAAACCGTTGTGGGGATCTTCTCGCACTCTTCCTGAACCCACCCTTTTGCATAAGAGGGTGAGCACAAGGAAAATCACGAAGTATTTGAGTGTATGCAAGAGTATTGTGCACGATTTTTGATTGAATGTTATCTCTTAGACTAGCCATACTGAGGTGTGACCAAAGATGCCATTAGCCACTTGGTCCCGTCTTTTCATGGGTCGTCTACGTCGTACCGCTGTAGCGTAAAACCATGAAAAGAGCGACACAAACTAGTGTATACGCCGCGAAATTAAGGGTAACATAGCACGGTCACTTGTGCACCCTTGCACTATTAGATTCACGCTAGGATCCGCAGGTCTCATCAGTGCCGCAGTCGAAGAAGTCGCGATTATTCGGGAAGAATGTCCGTGTTGAGATTTGGTGAGGAAAAGGGTCACTCCAGCGCAACATACCCATGCTCTCCAAGCCATTTTCCCGCCTAGGCTTGGAATGGCTTGGAGAGCATGAGTATGTAGCACAGGAGTGACCCTCCTCCTAACCAGTCCTCAATCCAGATATTCTTCCCCACCTGTCGAGGCTTCTTCGACTGCTACACCGTGACGAGACCTGTGGATTTTAACGTGATTCTAATAGTGAAAGGATGCACAATCGACCGTGCTATGTTACCATAAGTTTTGCGGCGGATATGCTAGTTTTCGCCACTGTGTTCGTAATTTTACCCTACAATGGTACGACAAAGAAGATCCATGATAAGACATGATCAATATACTTTTGGCATCTTTGGTCACACCTCAGCATGGCTAGTCTAAGAGGTAACATTCAATCAGAAATCATGCACAATACTCTTGCATACACTGAAATCCTTTGATTTTCCTAGTGCTCACCCCCATATGCAAAGGGGTGGGTTCAGGAAGAGTGCGAGAAGATCCCTGCAAAGGTTTGCACTAAACTCGTAGATACCATACATAGGAGGATTTGGGTGGTGATCAAGGCCAAGGTTCGGTGGACTAGGTACTAGAAACATTGTTCAGAAGTTTTCTCATTGTCCCAGGAAACAATTGTCCGGATGTACTCTTTGTATATCTTTTGGCACTAGGTTAGATCAAGTGTACTACTATGGATTTTAGTGCTGTGAACACATCCACTATGTGCCCCTCCCAAAGCATATCACCATTAAACATTAAGACTTTATGCACAGTGATCGAAAAGCATAAAAACCCCAATTAATGCAAAACATCCGGACAATTGTTCCTGTCCCTGTATGTTATTCTGAACCTCGACATTCGATCCCGCGCTACTCTGGTGAAACACTCATAACAAGCGCGATTTGACTTGCGTGGCAGAGTTGCGCGGCAACCCCGTTATAACTGTACGCCTTACCAACTAAAACATGTAATAAGGAAATACAATTTCCTTACAACATTGCAAGAATGAGGGACGGTAAGCAGTAACGATTCTCCCTCTCATCATCATTGGGAGCGATGGCAACCTCCAAGATTTTCGTTGGCACGTGCCCTGGTGGCTCCTTGAAGCGCGCGTCTTTTTCCTCCATGTCCAATCAGCGTTGTTTCGATGTAACGCAGTGGTCACCAGAAACTTCGACTCGCACGCGGCTGAGTTCAACACTCCCCGCAGTCTGATTTGTGGTGAGGTTCGAGTTGTTGGCCTTCGTGTCAATGGAATTAGCAGGTGGATTCGGGCTATCTGCTCCACCAACCTAAAATACGCCCTGGTAGAGCTCCTCTCGAGAGATTTTCTGAATTCCCGAAAATCAGCACTCTCATTAGCTGGCGTAGCATCGTTTTGCAGTAGTAGCTGAAACAATCTTCAAAATTGCCGCAGTAGCAGCGACTCGTCCAAATGTTTTCATAAACGTACATTCCCAACTTTTTTCTAGTTCCCACAGTTTCATATGTTTTTTTTGTCTAAAATGTCAGTACCTGGGTGATCGCAATTTTGCTGACCATGATCCCTAACCAACCTTTTTTTTTTTCTGTAGATCCATTTCAAGTTACCGAAGAGATGCCCATAATGAATTTCGACATCCAACGACATCTGTTGGGGAATGTCGAGAAATTTCAACAATAGACGTCTTCTAATCGATGCTTGAAATTGCTCGACATCCCCCAACGAATGTCATTGGATATCGAAATTAACATTGGACACCCCTTGACGTCCGTCAGATACATATCATATGCGATTGCTGCAACGACGACTAGCGCAAATTTTTTGTAGGTGCAATTATTCCGTATGTGCAACACCCACGTACGCAACCCTGCCAATGAAAACACTTGCAGACATGTGAATTTTTTTTTGTCACTAGTAGAAATCGTATAATCCACATCAATGCACTCTTGAGTGGTTGACGACCAGTTGCGATCGTAAATGTATCAGAAACGCCAACAAGGAATACGCCAACAAGGATTACGTTGTCAGAATACGCTGACGCTGTCATCTGGATTTCCGCCACATACCCCTCCTTGTCGACGTGTGTTGTAGTTTAAAATTGGTGATAGTTTTAATTGTCGTTTTACGTTGTTATTTCGTGTTTCCAACTTTAGTTTCGAATCTATCTACCATCGAATTAATTGACGATTTGGAGTCGAACCTTGTTTTGTTCTCGTGGTAAAGCATCAATAAGCATGCGCACTTAAAACACAGTGTGGACACGCCATGCAAAGACCATGCGAACACCATATGAACACCATGCGACATGCCTGCGTGGACCCTGTCGCAGCTAACGACAGCGTCCCCGTCCTTGCCAGCTGCGCATACGATAGCGTCCCCACCCCTGCCAGCTGCGTATACGACAACGCTCCTACATTTTGGGAATGCTACAAGCAAATTTGTCCATGACGTACCGCAGTATGCGCTAAGTGTCTCATTCCAACATTCTTGGACTTTGCACTATAAGAATACGACATGTATCATTGCGCGGGGAACAGTTTCGCCTCGTTTACAATACAGGTGTGATTTTTTTGGAATTTCCGATTCTGTACAAGGCCCTCTGTACATGTCTATTCTATACATTTCAACACATAATCATTCGTGGTCTGTACAACACATTACCATTCGTACAAGTTCTTACAATTTACCAAACTGTACGAATGGGTACGAAACAGAATGGACATGTACAGAAGGGCCTTCTACAGAATCGGGTAATTTCTAAAATCACTCTTGTATAGTACATCAGCAATTTGAGCTGTTCTACAGGGAAAAAATGCGATAGGTTAGGGTTCGTGGTCAGCAAAAGTGCGATCACTCTGTAACGAGTGTTTAGACCAATACACAGACGAAGCTTGGAGAAATAAATTAAAATTGGGGATGTACATTTATGAAAACATTTGGACGAGTTGCTGCTACTATGGCAATTTCAAAGAATATTTATGCTACTATTGCAAGACGATGCCACGCCAGCCAATGAGAATGCTGATTTCAGGAAATTCAGAATATATTGCTCCTCTGACGTCTTTGAAAACAATGAGTTGAACCATACAGTATTGGATTTCATGTATTGTGAAGCATATTGTAACCAGATTTGAAACAACGTTTGGAAATGCGAGGACGTTGTTGGGTTCGAATAGAATCTAGGTTCGAATCACACGGACCACAGCGAGGAAACGGCTAAAATCTACCCAAATCAAAAGTAGTTAAAAACTTATCTATCGAAAATCTGGACAGTTCGAAAACAGTGCCAAATTTTGCAGATGCTGACGTTGTCAGTATGCTGTCGAATCAACGACGCGCAAGTGATGTTTACGAACTGTCGTTTCTCGCCTTTCTCGCTATACAGTTTGTCAAGTACAGAACACAGACAAAATAATAACTAGTGCCTTGCTTTTTGTTCAAAGTAGTGTTTTTTTTAGCGACAAAAAATACCAATACCCTTAGGGCACCCACAAACGACTGGGGAGGCATCAACCGTAAACTCGTAATAAATTCCGCGAGTTGAGGGTTTATCCATCTCGAACGACACGCGGGTTCCCTAAGGGTTTTTTTTTTTTTTTTTTTTTTTTGTTGTTTTGTTTTGTTTTTTTTTCGTTAAGACTCAGTCTTGACTTTCCTTCGGCAACCCACAATTCTTTTCTGTCTTTTAAAGCGAGTTTCCTGAAGTCAAACAGTTGTGTGGGTAAATTGAGTGCATCATGAACAGCGCTCGCTGTGACAACTTTACAGAAAACGACATGATTTTCAGGCATATTTGGGTGTATTGTTGTCTAACAGATTTAGATCTGGATAGATGTTTGTCGTTTCCTCGACCACAGCTGACGAGGCGGCTCGACGCAGTACAGTGTACAGTGTACGTACGAAGGGTCCGCTGGGTTCGCGGAAAGCCAAGGGAGTTCCTTCCTGCTCGGGGGGAGTGGTGGAGCTGGCAGGTGGGGGTGAAGCTCGCCAGATACTGCACGCATGGGGCTTGGTTGGTTAGGCAGATGAGGCGAGTCAGGGTCCAAAAATTGTTCCTGACGCCGTCGTTACCCTAAACGTTTAGTCCCGTAATTAGTCTACTAAGGTAGGCGCAAAATTTCGAAGTACGGGCCTAATTGATTTAGCTTGGTTTATTAAGCTTAGTCCAGGTTGACTCGTCGGATCCGAGTTCTCCAAAGACACTGTTCCGCTGTTTGCCTCTTTCGCCATCCAATCTGGACTAAGCTATCCTGTAGTTGCTGGCCTCAGCGACCGAGAATGGGTCAGTGTCGGGTTGTGGCGACTTGTTTACGAGTAAGGCCGTAGGATTTCACAGTCTACTCTACGTCCGTCTATGCGCCAGCTTCCGATCAAGCATGCCTCCTCGCCCGGTCAACTTCTTCCATAGGTCCACGAATCTCCGGTCGTCATTAGGTCAAACCCGCGGCTCCACGTCGTGCTCCTCCTCCCCCGCGCGTTCCTCCCAGTCGTCCACGTCATCCTCATCGGCGGCATGCCAGAGCGCTGTAGAGGGCGGAGCAGCGGATGAGGCGCGGCGGCAGCCGGTGCTGACGGCGGGCGAGACCATCTCGCGGTGCCTCGCCACGCCCACTACCAGCCCCATCTGGCCGCTCACCACGCCGCCCTGCTCCCCCTCCCCGCGCCCGTCCCCCGCCTTCCTCTCCCCCTCATGGCGCCCGCTCCTGCCGCTCTCCACCACCATCGCCAGCTCGTGCCTCGCGTCGCTCGCCGCGCCGTCCGCGCCGGATTTCAACGCGGGGAAGGAGACGCCGTGGTGCCTCCCGGGTGGCAGCAGCAGCGGCAACAGACCAGCTGTCGCAGCCGCGGGAGCGTCGGGTAGAGCGTCGTCGCCGGATGCGGGCCGCGCGTTGTCGGTGCTGAGAGTCGCGTCGGCTGCACCCTACGGCACATGGCGGCGCGTGATGCCGTGCGCGCCCCCCGCAGCGGTGATCAGCCGCCGCCTGCACGACGCGCAGCTGCTGGGGCAGGTGCCCGGCCTCGCGTTCTGCTCGCGGCCCGCCGACGACGGCGCCGATAAGAGGTATGGCGGCTCTGACTTGCCTGATCCACATTCGTCTGCATTTCTTGATTCCCACGTTTCTTGTTTCTGAATCTCGCTCGGCCGTAATAATCTTTCTTTGTAACTCAGCTCATGTTAGGGAACATCTGGGTGGTAGTGCTGCCGTTTCTCGCTATCGCTCCCATCATGCTCCGTGTTGCTCTGGCGCCCTCCCGTCAGCAGCGGAACTCCCGAGGCGGCGAAGGAGGAGGAGGAGGCGCTGCGGCTGGTGGCGGGCGCGTGCGTGCTGCCGCATCCCGACAAGCTCGACCGCGGCGGCGAAGACGCCTTCTTCATCCTCCCGGACGTCTCCGCCTTGGGTGAGCGTGCACCCCTCTCCGCCTTAGGTGAGCGGACACCCCTCTCCGCCTAGGTGAGCGTACAGCCCTCTCCGCCTTAGGTGAGCGGACAACCCTCTCCGCCTTTGGTGAGCGGACAACCCTTTCCGCCTTAGGTGAGCGGACAACCCTTCTCCGCCTTAGGTCAGTCGGCTCCCCCCTCCGCGCTAGGTCAGCCCTCCCCCCTCCACCTTAGGTCAGTAGGCTGTAGCTGTAACACTCCGCTCCGCGTTAGGCCGCTCCCCTCTCCGCCGTAGGTCAGCGTGCTTTTCAGGGCTCCGCGCCCTTTTTCGCCAGTGCCAGTAGTGAGATCCGCCTCCCTGCACCATGTCGCTCTCCGTGCGGCATCCCCATTTTCCCGGTTCCCTGTGGCACCCCGACCTCCGTCGAGCCGAGTGCCGACTGGGTTAGCGATAGTGAACCTCGCAGCCTTCGCGTCCCCTTCTCCGCCGCAGCTCAGCTCTGCGCTCCCCCGTTTCCTCGCCTGTGCCTCACTATTGGCGCGCTGGGTAGTGTCTCGCCACGAATGTGCACCCCAGCCGCTGCACGGCTCTCGATCTGACAAGTGCGCGTGCTGTAGTCTCTCCTGTAGAGGGGGCTGGATTGGAGCCCACTGCACACAGCTTAAGTAGCGTTCGCTACATTCTGCAGTCGTCCGATCCGCCCGATCCCACCCTCTGGCATCGCCACTGCGTGTCGTCGACTCCCAGTGCCATTCTCGACTCCCCCAACGTCCACGACTCAACCCCCTGTCCTCTGCTTTCTTATCCCTTTGCGCCTAACCGTGCCTCCCCCTCCCCCTCCCTGCCCCTTTTCCCCTTGCTGCGCATTCCCCCTGCTGCGCATACCCCGTTGCGCATTCCCCCCGCTGCGGCCGTGGCAGGGGTGGCGGACGGCGTGGGCGGGTGGGCGGACGTGGGCGTGGACGCGGGGGCGTACGCGCGCGAGCTGATGGGGGAGGCGGAGGCCGCCGTCAGGCGCGAGCCCAAGGGGTGCGCCGACACCCTCAGAGTGCTGACGTCAGCGCACGCGAAAACGCGCAGCGAGGGGTCTTGCACGGCGTGCCTGGTCGTGCTGACTGCTGACGTAAGCAATGGGTGGAGGGGGTGTGGGAGGGATTGGGGGGGGAGGTGTGCAGGAGGGATGGAGGGGGGGGAGGGATGGAGGGGTTGGGGTGTGTGGGAGGGATGGATTTGGGGGGTGTGTGGGAGGGATGGATTTGGGGGGTGTGTGGGAGGGATGGATTTGGGGGGTGTGTGGGAGGGATGGATTTGGGGGGTGTGTGGGAGGGAGGGATGGAGGGGGTGCGGGAGAAAGTGGGTGTGGGACGAGCCAAGGGGGCGGGTGATATGGGCAGTGATATCAATTGACGTGCTGGCGTTGCCCTTTTTGGTCGTCACATGTTGTGCCTCACGACCCATTCCCCACCTTTTAAATCTAACAAACCCTCTTCCCACCTATCCTCCCCCTCCCCCTCTTCCCCCCCCCCGTCCCCCTTCCTTACCCCCCATGGCAGCGCCTGCAAGCGGCGAATCTGGGCGACAGCGGGTTTGTGGTGGTGCGCAACGGGCGCATCATATTCAAGTCGCCCCCGCAGCAGCACGACTTCAACTTCCCCTTCCAGCTCGGCAGTGATGGCGGGGACTCGCCCTCCGCTGCTGAGGTGAGCGGTGCACATGGGTGCAGAGTGGCAGCGGTGAAGGTGGTGCAGAGTGGTGAGCGAGTGGTGCGGGTGGGTGGAGAGGTGGGCGACGCACATGGGTGGAGAAGTGTGATGTGAGGGATGGCACAGCAGGGGCGAAACAGCATGGCGGAACATGATACTGGAAGTGCGGTGATGCCGAGGGCATTGCGCTCTCAGTAGTTGTGATCCGTGAAGGGACGGCAGTTGACCCGGTGCTGTTCGCCTGTTATCCAATCCTGTACCGCCCACGCCCAGTGCTCATGTCAACCGCCCCTCTCCATCGCACATGCTCCCGTCCCACCTCCTCCCCTGCATGGGTCTTCGCCCGGCAGCTGGCAGCGGGCACGTGGTTGTGGTGGGAACAGACGGTGCGTGCGACAGCATCTCCACTCACTCCCCTGTGCTCCCATCCCACGCTTCCCGGCGTGCACGTCTTCTCCCTGCCAGTGCCTGCGCCAGGCGTGGTGGTTGCCACGCACGGCCTGTCTGACAACGTTTTTGACTCAGACCTCGCCTCATGCACTCCTCACACTCCCCCTTCCCCCCTTCCCCCCCCCCAACCTCCCTTCCCCCCTCCCTGGTGCTCCCCCTGCCAGGTCTTCTCCCTGCCGGTGGCAGCGGGGGACGTGGTGGTGGTGGGCACGGACGGGCTGTTTGACAACGTCTTTGACTCCGAGCTGGCGTCCACCGTCATGCACTCGCTGCTGGCGGGCAGGGAGCCGCAGCACACGGCGGAGCACATTGCCACGCTGGCGCGCACGCGTGCGCAGGACCGCATCCGCATCTCGCCCTTCGCACGCGCCGCCCAGGAGGCGGGGTACCGGTACTATGGAGGGAAGCTGGACGATATTACTGTGGTGGTGGCGTATGTGGCGGGACCAAAGTTCGGGCCGGGCTGGTGGCGCAACTGCCGGTGAAGGCAAGGCGATGGGCAGAGCAGTGTGGTGTTGTAGCTAGCTGGCGCTGCGAGGGATTGGGTTGGTACTGGATGGATACGGATACAGCAGGAGAGCGCCGGCAGCAGTGTGCACTTTGTGTGGGTTCCAACCAACACTGCTGGGCCTTGCTGAAGCTCGCTCACCACAGCTGTGAGCAGCGCATCGCCTCCAATTTGCCGACACAACAGAGCAGGCGGGCATTGGCTTCACAATGAGCGATTCTGCGGTGGAACCGTGCTCGCCAGCACCACAGCACTCACAGCTTTTAGAAGCAGCTTCTAGGAGCCGATTATCGCACGAGGGGCAATTGTCAGATGCCACCATGTGGTTACCGCCCACCATCTCCCTCGCAGTCATGCCCTTCAATCTCGTCATGGCATGGAGCGGCAGCGCTTATTCTGACCGTGTTGTCCCCCAGTCTCTCCATCTCCATTGAGACTCTGCCACCTGCTCGCAGTCCTCAGCAGGTGCTTTCTGCTTCAGTTTTCCCTGCTTTCCTCCTAGCAGCAATCTTCATTCCTGGGACATTCAGCTTCCATCGTGGAATGTGGAGGGAATGTGTGTTTTTGCCTTCACTGCGTGTAGCGGTGGTTATGGGGCACTGGCATTGGTTATGCTCGAGCTTCTTAGATGCATAAAATGCTGTAGCCCACTCAGCATGTCCTTGCTCTCGTCTGTTACTTCAGTATGGAATAGACACACTTTATCTCTCAAAAGCAATAAAACTATGCTTGTCACATAATTCATGGTAAGTGCCTCTAAATCAGTGCGCGTGGTCCTGCTTCCAAATCTCAGACCAGGTTCACCCCAACGTTAGGATGTAGAGAGAAGAGTGGACTGTGAACTAGGGAAGGATGTATATCTTGGAAACTGAATGAACGAATAGAGAGAGAGTACAGGAATATATCTAAGTGTTGTACCCTCTAAGAGATGACCCTATACAGTCTATGCAAAGTATAAGAGATACACATGTTTGACACACCCCCTAGACTGCATAGGGGCAGGTCTTGAACAAGCAGCTCAGGGCAGCACTACTAGTCCAGCCACTGAGACAAGGGTCTAAAGACCAGTCAGAAGGAGTACAGGCAAGGCAAGAACAAGGCCAGGGCGGCACTACTAGTCCAACCACTGGTAGAGGACACAAGTCCAGTCTGAGTACATAAAGATATATATAGGGCAGTACAAAGTCAAGGCCCTAGCAAGTGAGAGGCTACATGAACTAGACCGAGCTGTACACAGTGCCGCTGATGATCTTTAGGCGCAAGCGCCTTCGTAAAGATATCAGCTGTGTTGGCACCGGAGGCCAGGTGTACTACGCGAGCCTGGCGGCGCTGCTGTAGCTCGCGCAGGAGGAAGTACCGCAGCTGAATATGCTTCGCTCTGCCTTCGAGTCGAGGCTCCTGACACAGGAGGATCATGGCCCTGTTGTCAGCGTACAGGACCGAGGCAGAGCTAGGCCGCTCACCTAAGTCAGTGAGTAAGAAAGTCAGCCAGCGGAGCTCCTGTGCCGCCATGGCACCAGCGTAGATCTCGGCCTCACAGCTGGACTGGGCAACAGACGAGGAGCGGGTAGCTCTCCACGAGACGGCACCTGAACCAAGGCTGAAGCAGTAGCCCTGGGAAGACCTGAGTGTCTCAGCGTCGTCCGCCCACGAAGCGTCTGTGTGTCCAGTAAGGACCACTGGCCTGCGTCCTCCTCGCACTAACCCCATGCCCGATGTACTTGCAAGATAACGCAAAACCCTCTTAGCGGCAGACCAGTGCTGCGGTCGGTGTCTGCCAGTGGCCACAAAGCGAGCCAGGATGCTGAGAGGGTATGCGAGATCAGGGCGAGTGCAAGTCATCAGGTACATGAGGCAACCCACCAGCTCTGCGTAAGGACCACTGGGCTCTACTGACTCCTCAGGAACTGGAGCGGAGAGTCTGTGGGCTAGAGGCAGAGGGGTGGGCTGTGCAGAGGAGAACTGAAGGCCGAACCTCTAAAGGACCTGGCGCACCAAGTGTGACTGAGTCAAGGTAATGGTGCGCGCTGCTCTGTCCCTGGAGATCTGCAGGCCAAGGTAACGGCGTAGCTCTCCAAGGTCAGTGCAAGTGTGTCTCTTCAGCAGCTCTGCCTTCACAGAGGCCAGTGCGTCCCTGTCTGCTGTGGCAAAAACCAGAACGTCCACGTAAACAAGGATGTAGAACGGAGTCTGGCCAGCACGAACGAAGAGTGAGGGGTCTGCCGAGGACGGAAAGAACTGAAGGTCAGCAAGAGTAGCACGCAGCGTGTCGTGCCACTCGCGGGGAGCCTGCCGCAGGCCGTAGACGGGACGCCGCAGGAGCCACTGGGTCCCAGGAGGGAAGGTGCCAGTAAAGCCCTGAGGGCGGCGCATGTAGACTTGCTCGTGCAGTCTGCCCTGAAGGAAGGCAGTGGAGAAGTCGAGGGAGTGAAGCTCGTAGTCACGCTGAGTTGCTAAGTGTAGCAGAACCCGAAGAGTAGTCATCTTCGGGGTCGGAGCGAAGGTCTGGAAGAAGTCCACCCCCTCACGCTGACAGAAGCCTCTAGCCACGTAGCGCGCCTTGAACACAGGTTGCTCTCCAGGGGGGCGCTTCACCTTGAAGAGCCAACGGCCATCGACTACGTTCACCCCAGGTGGGGGAACTGCGTCGACGAAGGTGCCGGTGGATCTCCAAGATGCCATCTCCTACTCCATAGCAGCTATCCACTGGGAGGCCCAGGGTCCCGAGGTCGCCTCAGCGTAAGTGCGAGGGGTCGGGATGTCGAAAGCGTCTGGGTCACCCTCAGGGACTAGCAGCATGGAACAGAGATGGGGAGCACCCTCGGACAGGAAAGCAAGCTCGAACTGGCGGTTTTCCAGGACGTCACTGCCGAGGGCAGGAGCACCCCCGACAGACGGAGGACAGGCAGGGTCAGAGACCAGAGCGGTGGCGTAGTCAAGGCTGCGGGTAGAGGCGAAGTCAGCGACCGCAGCGACAAGAGCGTCAAGACACGAAACCGGAACAGACGGGTCGGTAACGAGAGAGGCAAGGACCCGAGGAACGAGAGGACGAGCGGCACGAAGGTAGTCAGACAGAGGGGGGGGAGCAACGACAAGGGAGGACGGAGGAGGGGGCGGGAGAAGGGGAGGACGAGACACGTGGGAACGAAGCAACATAGGGTGAGAGCGCGTGATAGGGGAGACAGGACGAGCACGGGAGGGACGGTGAGACCAGACGTGAGACGCAGGAGTCAGGTCGGGAGACAGAGGAGGGGACACAAGGGGAGAGCGAGGGGGAAGACGAGCCGGGGACGAGTCCGGCGGAGGGAACACAGGGCCGTACACGGGGAGAGGAGGAGACGGGAGGAGAGGAACGGACGCAAGATCAGGGGACGGAAGGCCGAGCAGGCGAAGGGCAGACACTGGCGGGGACTGCTGCTGCAGGGGCACAATGCCGCCACCGGGACCGCAAGCTGCTCCGCGGCTACCACCAACAGACTCCACTCCAGCACCCCCTGAAGGAACACCCCCCGGGCTCGAAACTCCTCAAGCACCGGCACCACCCCCAGGGCCACCGCGGCTAGAGCCCACTCCAACGCCGACACCCGCAGGGGCAACGAACAGCTGCTGCGATGGCGGCGGCGGCTGTGGGGACGACGGCGGAGACAGCAGAGGCGACGGCGGCTGCAGAGGCGACGGCGGCGGCAAAGGCGGTGGAAGAGGAGACGGCGGGGGAGGGGGAGACGGCGAGGGTTGCGCCGCAGGACCATCAGAGTCAGAAGACTCCTCAACCGGGACAACCGACAGGAGAGGGGTGACGTGGGACACACCAGAGGGGGCAGGACGGGGAGGGTGAGGGGGAGGGGCAGGGACCACAGGGGAAGGAGGGACCAGAAACAGGGGGGGGGGTAACCGGGGGACCGCGGTGGGGGAAGCGACGGTAGAAGGAGACGGACTCGTCAAATGTGACGTCGCGAGAGTGAAAGAAGCGGTGAGACGGCGGGTGGTAGAAGTGCCAGTCGGACGCGTCAAGGGGAAAACCAAGGAAGACGCAGGGAAGGGTGCGGGCAGTGAGCTTGTCCGTGCCGGAGGCACGAACGTGAGCAAGGCAGCCCAGACGTGGAACGCAGACGCGTCACCAGGAGACCCGGTCCAAAGACGAGTCGGCGAAACCTGCGGCCGCTGGGGGTGCGGCCACAGGTTAAGCTGGTGAGCAGCGTAGCGCACGGCGAATAACCATAGAAAATGGGGTGCACCGGCATGGATCATGGAGGTGCGAGCAACCTCCATGACCAAGCCGATGCGTCGCTCAGCGACCCCATTTTGCTGTGGGGAGTCCGGCATGGTGTACGTCTGGGTGATGCCCTCCGCACGACAGAAACGACCAAGGACACCTGAGGCAAACTCGCCACTACGGTCTGAGTGAAGGCGCAAGACAGGGAGACCTCGGTGGACACGCACAGAGACAAGCCAGGGGATGAGAGCGTCAGGCACGTCGGCCTTGCGCTCCAATGGAAACACTGTGGTGTAGCGAGTGAAATCGTCGACAAGCACGAGGAAGTAGCGCTCTCGACGCGGCCCATGGACGGGGGCGGGGCCCCAGACGTCCATGTGCAGGGTCTGCAGCGGCGCGGCAGTAGGGGGAAACGAGGAGGAGTGGGGGGCATGGCGGAGCCGACCCTCGACGCAAGGAGTGCAAGGCGGGGCGGGGGAGGAGGGAAAAGGGGGGAAGGAACCAGGGAGACCAAGGACGAGACCGTGCTGGGACATGGAACGAAGACGCGGGAGCGCAGGGTGACCTAGGCGGTGGTGCCAAAGGAGATTCGGGTGGGTGAGAGACCGACAGGAGCAGGCAGCAGCAACCTGGGAAGACGCAGCCACCTGGAGGGGTGCCCCAGCCAGAAGGGTCACGGTGTCCAGGGTGAATGTCACAGGATCGAATGTGTCGAGGAAAGGTTGCACTATCGATCAGTACAAGGCGCTTTTATACGTCCAAAGTACATCAGGTAACCAGGTTTATCTTATCCGAAGAGAATAGACCCTTCTAGAAGATAGAATCACCCTGCGTATAGCCATGCGGGGCTATTGGCTTTAAGGGATTACGGCAGGATTACGCCAGATAGCGCACCAGTACATCCCAAGCCTAGTCGGTGATATAACTATAATAGCAGGATAAACCAAAGGTTAATGGAAAATGGAGAATAGGAAACCAAATGAGATGAGATAAAAAGAGAAATGAAAGAGGAAGGAAAATAAGAAAAGGGACAAGTGGTGTAACGGGGTCGTACTCTCACACTTCCCCCCCTCAAAGCTGGGTGGTAGAAGTAACACCTTGCTTGACTAGGTAGTCATGCAGAGGACGACGGGCGTTACCCATGTCGGACTCAGGTACCCAGCTGTCCTCAGAAGGATCGTAACCCTTCCAACGGATGAGAAGCTCCACGGTGCCATTCCGACGTCGGCGGTGTGCTAGCACGGACTCGACCTCGTACTCGGGTTCATTGTGGACGAGGACGGGCGGCGGCGGCGGCGGTTGGCGTCCGACGAAGATCGTGTTCGGATCCCGGTAGGGCTTCAGAAGCTGGACATGGAAGGCATTGTGAATCTTCCAGGTAGCTGGCAGGCGTAAGCGGAAGGTAACAGGACTGACTTGTGCTTCAACGAGAAAAGGCCCGCAGAAGCGAGGTCGAAGTTTAGATGGGAGGTGGCTGATGTCCAGGTTGCGGGTGTCAAGAAGCACCTGGTCTCCCACCATGA